GAAGAGCGCGTTCTCCTTGGGCGGGAGGCTCACGGCCGGCATCGTTCCGGCTGCTCCCGCTGCTCCCGCCACCACCCGACTCGGTCAGTCTGTTTGTCCGACCGCCGCCACTGCCGTTCCCCGGGCTCCTTCAGCCTTGAATACCCCGATCTACCGCCACCACCAGGCCTCGGGTGTCGCCGCGTCGCCTTTCCGGGACACCCCCTTCTCCTCGTCTTTTTCCCTTTCTCACTTAATGCTGCCGCCGCCTCCCCCCCCCCCACGGGTCTCCGTCGGCGGTTCACGTGGTAACTGAACAGACCGACAGAGGCAGCCAAAATGGCGGACGCAGAGGGCTTTCCCACCCGGGTCACAGCTCCTATTGCGCAGGCGCGATGACCTTCTTTCCCCACCCTCTACCGCGGAGCCTGTCGGGAACCCGGAGGGTAGAAGGGCACGGCTCTGGGCCGGCCCCGCCTGTCCCTGCCGTGAGGCGCGCCTTGGAGGCGCCCGGGTAGGGGCGGGAGTAGCCAACTACGCCTCCAACTGCTTCCTCTTCAAGAATAACCTTTCTGCTCTTTCTTGCTAGACTGGCCTTTCATTCATTGGGTAGACGCACCCAGACTGTGTGGTCACAGTTTGAGCCTGAAGTGCTAAAATACAGATGTAGGTGTCCAAGGAGCGCAGTAGTGGATCCTGGCCGAAGTGCCTAATGGAGGAGCAGAGGCGAAGGGGAAAAGACAAAGGGTTCACCGCGGTGGGGACTTGTGAACAGATCTGGAGAGGAAGGGGTTTTTCGAGGTTGAAAAGCACGGAAGAGCTTGACCTATTAAGTGGACCTGGCTGGCTGGGTTTCGGTGACTATTGCCTGGAAAGGTCGTTAGCCACTTCCGAAGTGACATATTTGTACTGCCAGAGGAGCCTGTGAAGGATAAAGTCTGTGATTTTGTTTCATTGCTGAGGTTATACAATGCAGGGCTGGGCAACGGACTGGACAAGTCACCTTGGTGTAGTGGATCAAGAAGTTCAGAGTCAGGGCCGGGGATTTAGCTCAGTGGTTTCGCAGCCTGCTGCGCAAGCGCAAGGACCCGAGTTCGATCCTTGGTACCAAAAAAAAAAAAAAAAGTTCAGAGTCACTGATTCGCTGGTGCCAGTGTCAAGCTAATGCTTAGTACTGAGTGTTGAGCTGCCCATCACCAGAAATCCTCAAATCTTAGAAGCCGAAGAAGAATATTAGACGGGAATGTTCCACCAGACCGAGTTAGACTTGATACTGAATAGGACACCTTCCACATATGAGTCATTTCATTAATACCCGTCAGTTAAACTTCAAAATGGCATTCCAGAGAGGGTCTAAATTTTTTTCAAGTCATAAGAGCCATTTTGCCCTTGATTATCTCCCCAGAGCCTGAATTTAATCGGTAGCATTCTTTGCATTATGAATCATTACACACAATGTGCAACGGTTTTACATTTTTAAATTTATACAGATACTTTACAGTTGAGGATGTAGCTCAGTAATAGAGCAAATTGTTCTTATTTGACCCTTTCTGCAAAATTCACTGCCCCCAAGAGGCCTTTCAACTATCTGCACTGTTAAAAGACACCCCCCCCCGCCCCAAATTCTACTAACTATGGGTGATAATTTTAGCGTAGCCACTAAAATGGGTTTCCAAATCTATGGTTGCATATCCAAAAATCCCAACAGCAATATTATATGCTATGGCTTTCCTGAATATAATGTTCTACTTTTATATTCCTGTATATAATTTCTCCTGTAAATAATGTTCAATTTTCCCTAAGGGGAAACAGATTTCTTTCAGGGGTTTTTTGTTTTGTTTTGTTTTTGAGACAGGGTCTCACTATGTAGCTGAGGCTGGCCTCGAACTCACAGAAATCCTGCCTCAGCCTCCCCGGTGCTGGGACTACAGGCGTGTGCCACCATGCCTGACAGGGGAAGCAAACTTCTGATCTTCAAAACAAACAGTGGTTTCTACCAGAATATGAGCATCTGATTAGATGAGCCAGCAAGATCCAGTAACTTGGCAAATGTCAATTCTTTTTGGCTGATAACAAATAACAATTTTTAAGACTCAGTGAATATTTGTCTCATTTCAACATTTATCTGATTCATTTCCAAGATGAAATGCACCCACAGATAATAGTTTGACCAGTCAGTGACTTGATAGCCTAAACTCAATGATACAATATCTATTCTGATCAGCACTACTTGACAAATAGAGATTTCCTTTGAGTTATGTTATGAATGGCAGCTGGGCTTCCAGGAAGTTGTAGGAAGTCCATATCCAAAGCTAAATGATGCTGCAGCTGCTGAAGATCATGATATTACTTCATTCATTTTACCACATACATGTCCATGTCACTAGTCCCTGTGGTCAAAATGTTTCCTCCAGGGCTGAAGATGTAGCGCAGTAATAGAGCAAGGGGCTGGGTTCAATCCTCAGTGCACACATATACACCACCCCCTCAAAAAAAACAAACAAACTTCCAAAAAATAAAATCACTGAACCTTAATTCTACAGAAGGAATATACATAGTGAAATGTCTCCCGCTTCATATATATGTAAGATGTTCTTTATTGAAACATCTACATGTTAGTAATTTACATTTTATAGAAAAACAACATAAAAATATATTTTTCACCCAGATTTAATAAATGTTAACATTTTGCCCTTCTGGGTTTCTTATTGTTTTAAAGCTTGCAGATACAAGAGGAAGTTTTTCCTCCTGAATTTGACCTGTAGAATTTTTATGTCTCATAAGTCAATAAACATGTATGTAGTAGTTTTGCATTTTATACTATTTGCAACTCTTGCTCTTTTTTAACTCTCCCCTGGAGATGTGGTTGAGTAAGATGTTTCCTAGTGGAAAAGTCTAGGACTAAAGCTTTGTATTTCTACCTACTAACTCAAATCCCTGCTCTGTTCACCTGGGTCATGAATAAAGTTTTAGCATTCAAAGTCAGGAGATGTCAGGAAGCAATTTCTGCCAAATATAATAGCTATTAGCTCCTGGCTGGAATTGCTTTATCAGGACTCTTCAAGATGGAGTTTCACCTACAGCTGCTGCCTCCAAGTGTAGAGTTCCATAGTTCAAACATGCTGAGAGTAATGTGCTTACATTTCATCACTGTCCTAAAATATACACTAGTAAAAGGATACAGTAACCAAACCCCTGAAAAAGAACGAAACAGACTTTCCCAATATGAGTACTGAAATTTGTAATTTACTCAGTGATTCTGTATACTCCGATTAAAAATGGCTCCTGTTTCAACTTGTTGGAGACTAGCAACAACTTTGTCAGAACAAGGTTCCCAGGGATGTTGCAGAAAGGATATACAACAGACAGGTTGCTGAGCAGACAAGAAGTTGAGAGAAACCACTGACTCAGCGCATTAGTTGGGTGGCTTGCTTACTTGAGGGTAAGTCCAGGAACTCAAACTGGGTTGCAGACTCCAAAGTGACTCACAATCTAGCAACCTACCGAGCCATTGTTCTCATTTTAAAATGAGGCAGAAAACGTAGTACAATTATTTTACTCTTTGTTTTTGGTTTCATTTTTGGTTTAAAAAAAGATTTTAAAACGGCACTGCGAAAAAAATAGAAAAAAAAGTTTTGCTAACATGTATTTTGCTTCTGAAAATGAACCTAAATGGCATTAGGTTAAAAGAAATGGCTTTAAATAGATTTAAAATTTATCATCTACCTATACTGTTTTGTTTGTTTTTGTTTTACAGTACTGGTGCTAAGTCACTAAATCGTTTGGGCTAGCCTGGAAGTTGGAATCTTCCTGTCTCAGCCTTGTACATATTTTTGCAGTCTTTTTTTTTTTTTCTTTTGGTACCGGGGATTGAACCCAGGTCCTTGTGCTTGTGCAGCAGGCAGCATGGTCTTTAAAACATCACATTGAACTGAAAATGTATTGCATAAATATCTGGTTCAATTCTGTAAGATAAAATAAAACCTACCTATTGGAGCTGGATGTGTTGGTGCACGCCTTTGATCCCAGCACTGTGAAGGCTGAGGCAGGAGGATCACTGTGAATTCAAGAGGGGCCTGGGATAGAGAGTTCAAGGCCAACCTGAAGTACATAGGGAGATCCTGTTTTAAAAAACCAAAACCAACAAGACAAACAAAACAAGGGCCTGGGATTTAGCTCAGTGGTTTCACCCCCTGCTGTGCAAGCTCAAAGACCAGAGTTCAATCCCCAGTACCAAAAACAAAACAAATTACTGATTGCTACAATGATTTTAATAGGCAAAAACAAGTTAATTACTATTTCCAGACACCTTGTTAGTTGCCCAATGGGCCATATACCCTGTGGGTTCCCTGTTACAGATGTAAAACTGAGGTATAGACAGTAAGTAATTCGACTCAACATCACTGCGCTGAAATGCAGTGAGCAGGAGTAGGATTTGACAGCGGCAGTTCCACCAGGCCTACAGCCCAAGGTCTCGGCGGCGGGTCCAGGCTTGGCAGGTGGGCAAACAGGATCAACAGATCTGAGATCAGGCTGAATCCTAGGGCGCTTTCATTTCTTCTGGAGTGCCTCAGGGTTGGGAGGCTTACGTGTGCTGCTCAGTTCAAATGGACTTTAGGAGATGTTGAGAGATCTTTTCAAATACAGGGTGTAACCTGTTACCTCGGTTGAGCCGCTGTCTTCAGCTGATGCCCTGTGATGCTTGTGACGCAGGACCTAGACTAACACGTAAACTAAAAGTAAGATCAATTTGCCGCACTGCGCCTGAAACCCAGAACGTTAGTTATTTTTCAGCACGACCCTTCATTTTCAGTTTTCGGCCTCTGGTAGGGACGGTTTGGTAAACCTTCGGATGGGGTCCCAGCGGAGGAGGAGAAGGTGCACCCTCAGAAGACAGAGGAGTGGGTGAATGTTCCCGAACCCCGCGGTGCTGCTGAAGCCGGGGCTGGGCTGCCTGGGATCGCGGGGCCGGGACTCACACCTGCGGTGCTGCAGCTACCCGCTAGGGGGCGCTGTGCGGACACCGCCTCTCGGGCTCGGGGAGGGGGCGGGGCGTGCCAGCAAGATGGCGCCGTCCATGCTTCTGCGCCCGCTCTCCCGGCTGCTGGCCCCGGCCAGGCTCTCCAGCGGCTGTGAGTGCCGCTACTCGCGCGGGCTGACTCGGCCCTCGGCCTGCCTCGGCTCAGAGCGGACCTAGCCGTCCAGGGTGGGAGGCAGGAGCGGCCCCGGCCCGTCCTGCTGTGACCTTCGCGGCACACGTCCCGGTCCCCGCGGACTCCGCCGCCAGCCCTGCGCGGGGGTCCCCGGCCTCGCCTTGGCCTCCGCAAACGGACCTCGTGTCCCTTCTCCCCCAGCTGTGCGAGTTCGGCTTGCAGACACTGGGGCGAGCCCCTCGTGGTGGCGCCTTCTGCCCGCGCGCGAGGCTGGGCCCGGCGGCGCTGTGCTGGCGGCCCTGGGAGTTATTCGACCTCTCCGAGCCTCCGCTTCCTTGGCTGTTTAAGTTGGGTGTTGGAGGGGTGTTGAAATTTAATACCATAATTAACACCTAAAAGTTTCCATTTTTTTTCCGTCTACAAGGCTGTGAGTTACAGATTCTCTCTGTCCCCTTTCAGCTTCAGCACGGTCGAAGTTCTACGTGCGGGACCCGCCGGTTGACAAACCTAACTGGCTGAAAGTGGGCCTGACCGTGGGCACCACCGCCTTCCTTTGGTGCTATGTGAGTGTTTACTGGGGACCCGCGGGGGGCGAGATGGCGCTGTGAGGTTAGTGCAGCTGTTACAGTGTTACCGTAGCATTTCTTCATAAAGGGACATCCCAAAAAGGACTACAAAATTAGGATTTCAGAGGTATGGAAAAACTATGATGAGGCTGAAATTTCTTTTCTTTTTTTTTTTTTTGGTACCGGGGATCATACTCGGGACCTTGCGCTTGCAAGGCAGGCGCCGGAACCACTGAGCTAAATCCCCAGCCCTGAAATTTCTTTTATTGGTGCTTAGCATAGTTTTGTGAGGATCAGCACTTTAACTACTGCGTGGTTTTGGGGTGGTATTTTTTGTACCAGGGATCGAACTCAGGACCTTGAGCTTGCAAGGCAGGCAGCTGAACCACCGAGCTAAATCTCCGGCCCTCTACTGCGTTTCTTGATGAATATTGTAGCCCTTTGGGGTTTTATGAAGGCACCACAGGGACAAACAAACCAGTTACACAAACTCGATGTTGTTGGACCCTTGAAACATTAGGTTTTAAGCAATGTTTTGTATAAATACGTTGTTGGAAATTATATTTAGCACAAATCAGCCTGTTCGTTGCTGTTATCCTTATGTCAAATGCTTTCTATGTAAATTTAATCATTGGAACATTATTATGTGGCCCATGCTATTATTGTTGGCCCTTTACAAATGAATAAATGTGGAAACATTGGTTTGCAGAACCCAGGTCCTCCAACTTCAGAGACCACTGTGAAACATTGCTTCTCTAAAGAGAAAATTATTTAAAGTTGAAAAAAAAAAAAAAAAGAAAGAAAGAAAAGGGCCCGAGGATTTAGCTCAGTGGTTTTGCCTCCTGCTGTGCAAGTGCAAGGACCCGAGTACCAAAAAAAAAAAAAAAGAAAAAGAAAGGGGGTGGGGGATTTAGCTCAGTGGTTCCGCCGCCCTGCCTCACAAGTGCAAGGTCCCAAGTTCAATCCCCATACCAAAAATAGATAAATAAAATTAAGAAGTTTGACTAAAATTATCTGCTTTATGAGTATTTTAGATTTTTGTTTCATATGTAATGTTTTTGGGCTTTTTCCACTGCCTCCTATCTCCAGCTGTCTGTCTCTCTTTTGGATTTTTCTCTTTAAAGTGGGTCAGATCTTTGACATGGAAAGGTGAAGAAATGCTGCAAGTCACGTACAATTTAACAGAAACTACTGTCTTTCAATAGATATTTATTAGAATGAAAATGTACACACTCGGGCCGAGGATTTAGCTCAGTGGTTCCATCACCTGCCCTGGAAGCTCAAGGACCTGAGTTTGGTCCCTGGTATCCAAAAAAAAAAAGAAAAAAAAAAAAATGTACACACAGTTTAAGATTTTCCTACAAAGGAAGTTTGATTGCTGCTGAAAGACCCAGTGATTAAAATTGGGACTTTGATTGTCACGACCGTCCTCATGTATCAACCATTGTTCCTCTTGCAATTCTGCCAGACAGTGCTTTTAGGAAAGTAGCTGTCTCTGGCATTCAGTTAGTACACAGATAGTAAAGGGATGGGGGTCACTTGCAGTATCAGACTTCTGAGAGAGTTTCTTTTTTTTTTTTTCTGGTAGCAGGGATCAAACTTGGGACCTTGCGCTTATGAGGAAGGCAGCGGAATCACTGAGCTAAATCCCCGGCCCCTTGTATCAGACTCTTAAGATGAGGAGTATAACATAGCAGCCAGCCTGAACCCCGCTTAATAACCATCTTCTATGGTGTGTTGGTTTAGTCCCTCTGTAATGAGGCTTTCAATAATATTTATTACCCACCAAATGAAATAGTTTTTTGACACAAGTTAAACTTAAATTTTTAACAGTTGCCTTCTAAAATTTACTGTATCAGATTGTAGTCAACACTGTATTCTAGACTTTTGAATCCCATAGCTTTTTATTTCTAACTAGATTGATAGTTATTTTAATCTCTTCTGTTCCTCTTGCATCAATGTATCCTTACTTAGTTTCTCCCTATTAAGTTGCCAGAAAGATTATCTTTCTAATTTTAACTATTAACTTGTAGCTCATCAAACAACATCATGAAGATGTTTTAGAATATAAAAGAAGAAATGGGTTGGAATAAACTTTGGAAGTACTTATATAGTAAGTATACAATTTTATAGGGTGACTAGATTTTTACAAGTTAATTAGATCTCTTTTTTTTTTTTTGGTACTGGGGATCGAACTTGGGTCCTTGCACTTGCGCAGCAGGTGGTGAATTTAGATCTGTTTTGAAATACAATGTTTAATACTTGATACTTTTTACTACCAGATTCATGCCTTTGACACACTGATGAATTTTTAATACCTTGCCTCCAACATTGTTTAGCATTGTAATTTTTTTTTTTTGGTACCAGAGATCGAACTCGGGACCTTGCGCTTCCAAAGCAGGCAGAACCACTGAGCTAAATCCCTGGCCCTAGCATTATAATTTTTTTTTTTTTTTTGGTACTGGGACAGGGGATTGAACTTGGGATGCTTGTGCTTTTGAGGCAGGCACCAGGACCACTGAGCTAAATCCCCGGTCCCCAGCATTATAATTTTTATCCATTATCTTTTGACTATGTTCAAAGAAAGTTAAACTCACGAATGAAATGAAAAAATGAAAATCATCTTTTTTGGTTTTTTGAGACAGTCTCGCTATGTAGTTTAGGCTGGTCTTGACCTCACTGTGTAGCCCAGGCTGGCCTCAAACTCACGGCAATCTCTTGCCTCAGCGTCCAAGTGCTGGGGTCACAGGTGTGTGCCATCATGCCCAGCTCAAAATCATTATTTTCTTAAATCTAATAATGCTTGGTTCTGTGGTGTGAGAAACCGAAAGTGGAGATAGGGACTGAAATGTATAATAGATGTTGGGAAATAGGAAGGAGAACAAGGGAGGATAGAGAGAGAAAGGAAGGGAGGGACAAGAAAAAAAGGGAAAATAGAAGGAAAAAATAGAAACAAAGCTTTTGCACAGAGAGAGGAGAGGGCATTTGAGTGGAGGAATTGGGATAAAATAAAATTTATTTTAGTATATGTGCTGCCGAAGCGAGCACTAAAATAAAATTTATTAAAAGATAAAAGTTTTGGGGCCAGGGATTTAGCTCAGTGGTTTCGCCGCCTGCTGTGCAGGCGCAAGGACCTGAGTTCGATCCCCGGTACCAAAAAAATAAATAAATAAAAGTTTTAAAAATAAAGTATATGTTAAATAAATAGATAGACTGGAGAAATAGACTGTACTTCCTGATGGGAGGCTTTGAAGAGTGGTATTGAAAGTCAAGAATATAGGCAGGGACATATAGTCAGCCCTCCAGAGGCTCCATGTCTGCAGATTCAACCAATCCCAGATACAGAATAAAATAGTGCAAGAAAAGATAAATAAATAAATCTAGTAATGCTTTACTAGTTGCCATCAAAGCACTTATGAGGGCCGGGGATTTAGCTTAGTGGTTCCGCTGCCTGCCTTGCAAGCGCAAGGACTAGAGTTCAATCCCCAGTACCAAGAAAAAAAAAAGCACTTATGACAAGTTATCATTATTTGTGTATTTCTTTTTGTGTGTATGTGTATTTCTTAATATCTGTTTGGTATATCCCACGCTTAAGTGTAATTTCCATAACAAGAACACTTTGTTTTTTTGGTACCAGGGATTGAACTCATGACCTTGTGCTGGCAAGGCAGGCGTGGTGCCACTGAGCTAAATCCTCAGCCCCAAGAACACTGTTTTATTTATGGTTATATACTCAGCAACTTGCTGAATGCCTAACCAATTTAGAGTTTAGTATTTGTAAAATGGATGAATATATAATAGCAAATAGATTTTTGAATTTTTTTCTGCGTGACTATTTCATTATGATCAACACTACAGTTCATAGTAAAATTTACCTGTGAGCAAGATGTCATACTCTGTGTAATCTATAATTCAAAAAACAAGAGTTTATTATATGTGCACACACATACAGTTTATATATTACATACATAAATAATGTATGTATTGTATTTCTGAAACCTCTTTTTTTTTCCCCCATTAAGTTTATTGGTACATTTTAGGTTTAAAATACAGTTACTTACATCATTGGGATCTTGTACCGTTAAATGAATATCTTGGTTCTTATTTTTTTCCCCTTCCCCTGCCCTCCCTTCACCCCCTCCACCCTTCCCTATTAGCAAAGACTATGTTTCCATTTTTTTCCATCTGAAACCTCGTTTAAGGAAATCATTTATTAATCTTTTTGTATCCTTTCAAAAATCCCTCTTAAAAAATCTCAATTTTGGGCCGGGGATTTAGCTCAGTGGTTCCGGCGCCTACCTCAAAAGCACAAGGTCCTGAGTTTGATCCCCAGTACCAAAAAAAAAAGAAATCTCAATTTTTATGGATTAGGTTCATTAAAGTACATCAGTTTTATCTGTTGGATAATAAACATAATACTCACAAAGTACACCCCTTGTTTTCCATAACAAACTCAACTCAGCAATTTAGAGTGATTATCCAAATCTTTTCTCCACTTGATCTTAGCCAAAAGGCTGAGAAGCAATTCCAAATCTTTTCTTTATGAGGACACCTTGCCCACTTCACTACTCTTGTGTAATTTTGTTAAAACTTAAAATGAAGGGGCTGGGGATTTAGCTCAGTGGTTTCGCAGCCTGCTGCGCAACCACAAGAAACAGAGTTCGATCCCCGGTACCAAACAAAACAAAACAAAACTTAAAATGAAGTATTGATACTCTTTGTGGACTTGTTTTCTATATTTTTTCCAATGCTGCAGAGTAATTTATTCAGAATAGTCTGATATTATGGTTAATGCAGTAGTTTTTTTCTCTCTTCATCATAGGTGTACCCCTCATATGATTATAACAGATGCTCTGGACTCTTCAGTCTGTTGAGTTGTGAATGTGAGAGAAGTTATATGTAAATGTATATCAAGCCAGTTTTGTGTTTTGCATCATTAAATTAAATAAGTAAAAATACTTATGTATTCCAAAAATGCATATTTGTCAACTTGTAAAAAATGTCAATTCTAAGGTACATTATTAGAAGTATTTCAATATGGAAAACACTATCTGATAACAGAGTCAATAGGAAGTTTGTTTTTTGTTTTTCAAGACAGGGTCTCTTATGTAATTCAGGCTGGCCTCAGCCTCCAGAGTGCTGAGATTACAGGTGTCCACCACCACACCCAGCTGGAAGTCACTTTTGAACATAAATTCCAAGTTATATTATTTCAGAAAAAAGATCAGTATTGCTAAGTGACTATTCCCTTGTGTCAGCTTGGATTCCTAGCTGTTAGAGCTGGAAAGAATCTTAGAGATCACAGACCAATCTCATACAAAGACAGTAACCAAAGTACAGAATGATCTGCCTGCTGGGTGTGGTGGTGCATGCCTGTAACCCCAGCACTTGAGAGGCTGAGGCAGGAGGATCGCCACAAGTTCGAGGCCAGTCTGGGCTACATAGTGAATTCAAGGCCAGTCTAACTACATAAGGAGACCTGGTCTCAAAAAAGGAGTGATCTTCCCAACATTATAGGTAGAATAATGGACCAACAAAGATGTTTATGTCCTCCCTGGAATGTATATGCTAGATTATATGAATAAGGGGACCTGAGATGGCAGAAGGGGGTTGGGGGGTACAGCTCAGGCAGGGGTAGAGCACTTGTTAGCATTCCTGAGGTCCTGGGTTCAATCCCTAGCTCCACAAACAGCAAACTGGCAGGGGGAATTAAGGTTGCCGGTCCGCAATGCTGTAATCCCAAGGGTCTTAAGTGGAAGAGGAAGGTGCCGCAAGAATGTGCCGGTGATGCAGTTGAGAAAGCCTGCCACTGCTAGTTCAGAAGGTCCGCAGAGGCCAAGAGCCAGGGAAATCACGAGGACGACGTCTTGCAGAGTCACCAGAAAGGACCATTCCTGCTGACATCTTAACCCCAGCGCAGTGAAACACCTCCAGAACTGCAAAATGGTAGATTCCCATAGTTTCAGACCATCACGGTTGGTTGTCACTGCAGCAATATGAAACCCATGCTATCGTGTAGAAATTGACCTCAAGAAGTCAGGTATCAGCTCCAAATCAAGGATACTTTCACTAAAAGAAACACTTTAAAACTCTCATCTTGGGGCTGGGGATTTAGCCCTGTGGCGCTGCTGCCTGCCTCGAAAGTGGAAGGTCCTGAGTTTGATCCCTGTTAGGAAAGAACAAAAAAGCTCTCATCCTGCTGTTTGTTTGGTTGATACCAGGGATTGAACTCGGGTCCTTACTCTAGAGAGGCAGGCTGCAGAACCACTGAGCTAAATCCTCGACCCTCCATCTCTCTTTTTAAGTTGACTTTTCTTAGTACATGTTGCAGTGTATCATGATTGTATTCACTGTAGGGGTTGCTACACATACACCACACATTGCGATTCCCTGCTTTCTCCCCCTTTTCTCTCCCCTGTTCCTTTAGGAAACAGGAAACTTAAATTTTGGAAACTGAAAGCTTTAGCTAGAAATAAAATATTTCAATAAAGAGAGAGCCAGGTATGGTGGTGCACACCTACAATCCCAGCACTCAGGAGGTTGAGGTAGGATTGTTGTGAGTTCATGGCCAGCTGGGGCTGCATAGTGAGTTCAAGGCCACCTTGGGCTATATGGCAAGACCTTGACTCAAAAAACCAGGGGCCAGGGATTTAGCTCAGTGGTTTTGCTGCCTGCTGCACAGGCGCAAGGACCTGAGTTTGATCCCCGGTACCAAAAAAAACCCAAAAGAAACAATAAAAAGAATCCATTGCATATCAGTCTGAGGATACAGCTGCTCTTGGTAAGCACCCTCTTGGCTGTGCCCATACAGCTCTAGGGGGAACCTTTCATGAAGACCACAGCTGTCCAGGACTTCCTGCAGCAATGGAAATCCTGTCCGGGCAGTGGCCACCAGTCTCATGACTAATGAGTATGGGGGATGTAGTTAATGTGGCTGCATTTTATAGTATTTAATTTATTTATTTTATTTTTTGGTACCAGTGATCAAACTCGGGGCCTTGTGCTTGCCAGCCAGGCAGGTGGCAGAACCACTGAGCTAAATCCCCAGCCTGCTATAGTATTTAAAATCATCAAAAGAGCTGGGCGTGGTGGCACACACCTGTGCCATGGGGACTTGGGAGGCTGAGGTAGGAGGATCGCCATGAGTTCAAGGCCAGCCTAGTTGGGCTATATAGTGAATTCAAGGCCAATCTGAACTACTACAGAGCAAGACCCTCTCTCCAAAAAACCCCAAAACATCAAAAGAGATGCTGGCTGCTGTATTGGACAGCATCTCTTAAGAGTTGTACTACATAATGGTCTGATAAAAATCCTAAGTTAAATAATTGAAACCTAACTCAAGCTAAAAAAAAAAAGAAGCAAAGTTCTGAGACAGACCCCATATCAGGAATGTACTAGACTCCAGTGTCTTAAAGTATGTTCTTCTGCTTTATTTCCTTTGCATAGACCAGGGGTTGGCTATTATCATTGAAAGCTCTAAAAGGTTCGCCATCACTGGCATAGACCTTCTCTTCCTCAGGCCACATTGTAAAGAGAAAGCCACAAGTACTGTAGCTCCTGGATTTGCATCTCAAGACAGGAGCTGGACTGAGCCAGAGTTCTGATTCTTGCAGGTGTGGTGGCGCAAATCCCATAATTTAGAAGGCTGAGGCAGGAAAATCAGTCAGCATGAGCTACCTAGACCCTGTCTCAAAAAAAAAAAAAAGTTCTGATGATAGATTACCAAAAGGAACTTAGAATTAACTGTTAAATGGATGATTCTTTTAGTAATAATATAAAAGGTGGGTTTCCACATATTAAAGAAGATACAGACAAAATCTTATCAAGTACAGTCAAGTTGTTTTGTGTTTTGGTAGTTTCCAGGACTGGAGATTGAACCCAGGACCTCTGCACTGAACCTAGCCCTTCCTTTATTATTATTATTATTTTTTTTTTTTTTTTGAGACAGGGTCTCAGTATGTAGTTCAGGCTGGCCTTGAACTCACTATGTAGCCCAGGCTGGCTTCGAACTCTGATTCTCCTGCCTCTGCCTCCTGATTGCTGGGACAACAGGTGTGTGCCACCATGCCCAGTTCTTTTTTATTTTTAGACAAGGTCTCAGTTGCCCAAGCTGAACTCAAATTTGTGATCTTCCTGCCTCAGCCTTGCAGAGTGCTGAGATTACCCACCATCATGCCCCACTTGGATTTTGATCTGATAAAAATTTGTTGCTATAAACTATCCAAGTTTGTAGTAATCTGTTACAATATCCTTAAGAATACAGAAGTGCTAGGGAATCTCCTGTTTGTTTACCTAGAAAAGAAAAAGTGAATAGATCAGAGTACCTCTAAGAATGGTTTAATGCACCATCTCAGTGACATCTTCCCCTTAGTTTTATCTAAGTGGATAGGGTGCTTTTGCAGCACTAGGGATTTAACCCAATGCCCTGTGGATGCTAGGCAAGTGCTCTAGCACTAAACTTCGTCCTAGCCCTCCTCCCTTAAAAAAAAAGTTCTCCCAGGCCGGGGATTTAGCTCAGTGGTTCCGGCGCCTGCCTCAAAAGCACAAGGTCCCGAGTTCCATCCCTGGTACCAAAAAAAAAAAAAGTTCTCCCTAAATTACGTAGGCCATCCTCCTGCCTCAGCCTCCCAAGTAACTGGGATTATAGGAGTGTACCACTTTGCCCAGCAAGACTTTTTAAATTGTTTGGCAGTTTGTCTTCCGAGATAGTCTTCTAAATTGTTTCACTTTCTATAAATGTTAATCTGTCAAATAGTATAGGTTATAGCCTAGGAATTGACTGGTAAAAACCCAGCTGTTTCTAGCTTTTTGTGTAGTCTAGAAGACGCTGCCCTTCACAGCTGCTTTTAGTTACATAGCGCTTGAGCTACAAGATTCAAGTATCAGTCAGCAGAGGACCCTTACAATATGTTTTCAAAATTAAACCGCCTCTGTCAACAGTGTCGATTTGGTGACGGTCATGTAAGTAAGCCAAGGTATCTCTGATGCTGGATCCTTGTTTCCCAGCCAGACCAGCAAAATGCCAAGGATGTGCCCCAGGACAGGCACTGTGAATGATGCCACAACAGCTAGGCGACGTCCCCAGCCCAGGGGAGGCCGCTATAGCAAAAAGCTAGCGTTAGAACTCACCAGGGTTCGAGGAGAAACGCTGGAAATTTACACAGGGAATTTGACAGTCAGAAAGCACTCCTCTTATGGTGCCTTTTCTTGGAAAAAGCGTTGTATCAAAATGTGCAAAGAATTTACGGGGCAAACAGAAATCCACATCGAGGACAGGAGCGGAAGCGTGGGCAGGAAATTCCCTTTCGCCCGGGGAGCGTGAGCTTTGAACAGGAAAAGTGACGCTCGCTCGTTGTGTGACAGCTCTTTCTCTCCAGCTGGGTGGGTGGCCACATCCAACCTAGGGCACGTAAGCGCCCACCGGACCGGCCGTGGTGGAAAACTGCGTCCTGCCAAGCACCCAGCTGGGGCAGCAGGGCACAGCGCAGGAGCCAGAGCTGCGGCTTCGCTGGAGGTCAGAAGCCAGCCCTGCCTCCCCCGCAGGCTAAACGCGCTTCACCCCTAATTATCCCCGGCGTTGTTCATCCATCCTGAGCGTTCCGACCTCATGCTTAACCACACTAGTATGCTTCTTTATTTTTGCTCACGTCATATAGGGATAATCCACCCCCTATACCCCTACTCCTTATGATTGTTTATTTGTTTTTTGTTGTTTTGGGGTTTTTTTGGTACCGAGGATCGAACTCGGATCCTTGTGGTTCCACAGCAAGCGGCGAAACCACTGAGCTAAATCCCCGGCCCTACTCCTTATGATCGTTAAATGTGACAATGCTTCGGTGCTTTTTTGCTGTTTGGGGTTTTTTTGTTTTTCTCAGACAGGTCTCGCTGTGCTGTCCAGGCTGTTCGCAAAGCCTCAATCCTCCTGCCTCGGCCTCTGGCCCAGCCGGGATTCCAGACAGCCCCCACCACGCCTGGTGATCCGACAACCGCATCCTGAAGGGGAGCCTGCGACGACGGAGCCATCTTTATTCATAAATGTTTTCTCAGGGCAAAAACGAATGCCTGCTGGCGGAGCTTTGAGACTTACTGTTACTGTTACTGTTATTGTTACTGTTTACAACTTCATAGTATTAAATAATACAGTGAACGCATTCACTGATTAAAATGCATTTACTCCCTTTGACTATTCTTCTGTGGCTGGCAACCAAGTCAAAATTCAGCCCTGAGTCCGCCGAGGACGAGGAGTCCTGGAAGCAGATGTGATTGGCTCTGTCCCTCTGTCCTGGCAGCTCGCTGCTCCCTGAACACTCTATGCCACCGAGACACATCCCCCCTTGGGAGAGGCCGTGTGCTTGCTCAGCAGTGCTCAGACATAGCCGGCCTAGCAATATTCCTATTTTCAGGATACCAACTTTTTTTTTTGGTACCAGGGATTGAACTCGGGTCCTTGTGCTTGTGCAGCAGGTGGCGAAACCACTGAGCTAAATCCCTGGCCCCTCAACTTCTTTTTTTTTGGTACTGGGCCTCAAACTCAGGACCTTGTGCTTCTGAGACAGGTGGGGTGCCACAGAGCTAAATCCCTGGCCCTGCTTTTGATTTTTGAGACAAGGTCTCACTATGCAGTGTAGCCCAGGCTGGCCTTGGAATTGTGATTCCCCTGCCTCAGCCTCCCAAGTGCAGGCATTGCAGGAATATGCTACACCTAGTATTCGTTTCTCTTTTAATGTAGTATTGGAGATTGAAGCCAGGACTTGTGCATTCTAAGCATGCACTCTTCTGCTGAGCTACAACCCCACCCATGACTACTCTTTCTGAGTATCAGAGAAACAATCCCATCACTAGCTTACACTCCTCATGTAGGAATATGTGGATGCTATTAGAATTGGGTCCGGGAATGTCACATCTGAGAAACCTTCACATAGCAGAGGAACAGTGGTCAGTGTGCCTACCCAGGGCCAAGAGAACCTGGAAAGAGAAGTAGTATGTTCGTGTCTTATTTTTGCCTGTCTTTCCTTGTTTCTTTTTTTTTTTATTTATTTATTTATTTATTTATTTATTTATTTATTTATTTATTTATTGAGGCAGGGACTCACTGTGTAGTTCAGGTTGACCTTGAACTCACTATGTAGCCCAGGCTGGACTCAAAATCCCAGCAATCCTCCTGCTTCAGCCTCCCAAGTGCTGGGATTACAGGTGTGCACCACCATGCCCCACTCGAGTGCTCCCCCCCCCCCCCCCCTTTGCTTTTTTTTTTTTTTTTTTTTGGTACCGGGGATCAAACTCAGGACCTTGTGCTTGCAAGGCAGGCGCTGGAACCACTGAGCTAAATCCCTGGCCCTTTTCTTTGTTTCTTGAACATCAGTAAATCTTGGACCACGTGGTGTCATTTGCAAATGGAAATAACTGTCACTGCTCAATTAAAGGAGCTATGTGAAAGTTTGTTATAAACTGTCAAGTGCCCCGGGTGTGGTGGCACACGCTGGAGAGGCGGAGGCAGGAAGATCTCGGTGAGTTCAAGGCCAGCCTGGGCAACTACACACTGAGATCTTGTCTCAAAAACAAAACAAACAGACCTGTCAAGGGCCAAACATACATGAGGGATTGTTATAATAGGAAACCATCCCTTTCAAAGAGTAATCATTTAGAAAACGTAATAAGCATAAAGTTTTGGTTTCTATATTCAAACCATGACAAATTCTTGTGGGCACAACGAGGCAAGAAATCGAAATTTGGGGAAAGAAGCTAATAGTTTAGCCTTCGTGATCAATGTGGAAATACTAATCTCACACCGCCCAGAGGACTTCTGGGCGTCTGGGGGTTCTATACTGAAGGTCACCGTATGTTACCTGTCTAGAGGTGCAGCCGCCCCTGGGAGAGCCAGGGGTCGGGGGTAACGTGGTTCAGACGACTCCGGAGGGATGAACCCGGTCACGAGTCCCGGTGGACTCCCAGGACTTTTCCAGCCAGACTGTGCGACAGGTGACAGCACCTTCGAGGCTCCGGATTCCTCCCCGGCTGAGGCGCCGCACCTGCTCTGCGGACCCGCGGGAAACCAGCCGGGCTGGGGCGGGCTCTGGAGGGCGGGATAGGCGGGCAGCGGGGCGGGGCGGGCCGCCGGGGGGCTGTGGTCCGCAGCGCGCTCCCGCGGGTCTGGTCCGACGCGATGTTGCTGCGTAGGGCGGTCGCCAAGCCCCTGGCGCTGCAGCTGAGAGCGCCCGGCCCCGCGCCGCTCGGCAAGGACGGTGAGTGCGCGCCGGGGGTGGGGGGCCGGGCAGACACCCGGAGTTCTCGGGGCCGCTGAGTCCGCACCAGACTTCCCAGGTTCGAGTCCTGATCTCGGGCAATGTTTTAGTAACCTGTTTCTTCCTCCGCTAAGTGGGGAAAGTAACGGATGTGAGTTTTAAAGTGCTAATTTGTAGTTAAGAGCTTTGGTACACGCTTGTAATCCCAGAACTCTGGGAAGCTGAGGCAGGAAGATCGAAAATTCGAGCCCAGCCTAGGCAATTTAGCAAGACCTTGTCTGAAAATTAAAAATTTAAAAAGGCTTGGGGGCGTAACTCACTGTGAAGGCCCTGGCTCAATTCCCAGTACCAATAAAATAAAATAAAAGCACGCATACTCGAATACTCGCAGCTCTAGAAGCAGCTCCCTGAGGTGGTGGATTCAGCAGGGGCTCAGCAGCCGGAGCCAGTGCGCCTGGGCCCTGAGCACCCCCCGGGCGAGGGGCCTCAGGGCGCCGTCCTTAGCGGCTCCACCGAGGCCCGAGGCTGTGCAGCTTCTCGGCCGGGCCCCAGAATCCACGGTCTTTGAATGCGGGGAGGATGGAGAAAGAGCGAACCCAGAAAGGTCACGCCTGGCATCCCAGCACGTGGGAGGCTGAGGCAAGAGAGTTGGAGCGAGTTTGAGGCCAAACTGGGCTACATAGTGAGTTCAAGACCAGACTGGATTACATAAGGAGACCCTGTCTCAAAAATAAATAAATAGAATTTTTTTTAAAAAAAGAACGGTCCGGAGGAGAGATTGGGAGCTTGGTGAACGCGAGGTGGCGCGAGGGACGCGGCGGGAGCTCAGCAGGTCCTCACTGAGGACGTGGGACCGGTCCCGCACGGAAGGGGGATGGAGAGGAGGATGGACAGAAGGACGGGGTGTTTCATGGCCAGTTCTTCTGGGCTTTTGTTTTTGTTTTGCTTTTCACTTAGATCTCTCCAGCCAGCTTCATTTCTCTCTTAAATTGCTGGGGGCAGAAGTTGCCTCAGAAGTTGCTTTCCGCCGAGCAGGAGAGCGATTTCTTTTTCCTCCGGTGAAGTAGGAGAAGCGCTCGGTCCAAACTCCCAGGAGGAGGCTGCTTTCCGAGGGAGGAGGGTGAGACCCTGATCCAGGCCCTCGCCCTCGGCCTGGCCTAGGACAGGCGCACTCTTTTTCTGACTGCACAAGTTTCAAATACCTTTCTCCCCAAGTTGGAGCAAAATAAAAGTAGTTGCAAAATTCTCAATCTGCAGTTAGCTGTACTGGTTGTAGGACTACTGATCTTTCGCTAATACACATCGAGTTACTATTTTTGCAGCACTGATTTATGTTTTGTTGTTGTTGTTGTTGGTCTCGGGGATGGAACTCAGGTCCTTATGCTTTCAAAACAGGTGCTGTAACCACTGAGATAAATCCTCGGCCCTTGATTTATGTATTTTAAGAACTGTTGTTGACTGGAAACTTAAATTTGCCTTCACTTGTGGGCATTAATTAACTTTTTTTTTCTCTTTTGGCACTGGGGATCGAACTCAGGCCTCGTGCTTGCCAGGCAGGTGGGGTGTCGCTGAGCTACAATCCCAGGCCCTAACTTTTTATTAGTACTTTATACTTGGAAAAATAAAATTGTTTCAGTTTTTAAAAAATTTTTTTTGTGATAACATGAATTTTAATTCTAGCACCTGAAGCTATACAAGGTCGGTGTTATAAACTTCATGGGACTGTTGTACACATTCAATAAAGTGACAACTATGCGATACCACTCAGTATCTCATCGTCAGAAATATACTTTTAAATTGTTTAAACACAATCTACAGGCCTGGGGATTTAGCTCAGTGGTTTCATCCCCTGTTGTGCAAGCGCAAGGACCCGAGTTTGATCCCCGGTACCAAAAAAAAAAAAAAAAAAAGAATCAGAAACCATCGACATTTATAGTAAATTATCAATCAAAGCAGTTTTTATTTTTTGGAGAGGTAAAAGTCTGTCTCTTCCAATTTTATTCTCTCTTTTTTTGCTTTTAAGAGTGTAATTTCTTCTAGAATAAATCATTTGAGTTTACGATAGTTCTGTGGGAAAAGACCTGAAAGGCAAAATAGAAAATAGAAATCAGCTGTAAACTTACTGCTCAGTGAACAACGCGATTTCCATTTTTGTATATTTAGCGAATTTAGTTTCCAGATTCACTTTCTCCTTGCACTCTGCTTCCATTTTTGCATAGTCCCTCACACAGAGACTTTACCATGTTAGTTAATATGTTGTAAATAGTTTCTCACATAAGTAAAAATTCTTCCACAAAATTACAATGTCTGTTTCACAGTGTGTAAAATTTATCTAATTCATCTTTATTGAATATTTCCCATTTCATTACTATTTTAAATAAGTGGGCCAAAATTATACTTAAGTCTACTTAAATTCCTGATAATTTTCTTTATTTATGTATTTTTTTAAAGTCTTTTCAAGGGGTAGGGCCTGCAGAGTATTCTGGGTTTGAGTTCTAGCACTAAAAAAAGCCAAAATTTTGATATTTCCATCTGCTTGAGAAATATGCAAGTTATATTCCCTGCTTGATCACAGATTTTTTTTTTTCTTTAAGATGTAGAGTCATGTTATGCTGGCCAGGTTGGCCCCAAGCTCCTGGGCTCCAGTGATTCTCCTGCCTCAGCCTTCCAAGCAGTTGGGACTCTAAGGCACGTGCTTAACCGCAGATGTACTTTTAAGCCAACAGAAGTCTCACCACAAGTCAAATCTTTTATCAGAGTTTCTTGGGGCACATTCATAGGGATTTTTTTTCCCCCCTAAGAGATGGCAATTTACAATCAAACTGAGAACATAAACAAGGACTTGTGGTTTTGCTGCTAGGAGGCTTTCTTCCCACTACACATGCTTTCGATCTGCCCCATGAGAAGTGCGTCTCTCACACTCCACCCTGCGTCTATGGTCTCTGTCAGGGCTGGTGGGTCTCTTCTGCTTGAATAGCTGCCCTGAATCAACTAGCTGAGCTTTCCTCTACATTTTCATCTGGTATCGCACTTGTTTCTCTGTCCATACAGCCCCTCCTGGACTGCAGATTGTAAACTACCTAAGGCTAGAGATCGCCTCAGTCTCCTTCACAGTTGCACCGTAATGCTCCTCCGCATAGTAGATGCGCTCCTGTATTTGTTACACGAATGCATAAACGCACTATGTAGCACAGGCTGGTATCAAACCCAAAGGCAACTTCCTGCCCCAGTCTCCTGAGCTCTGGGATCATAGGCATGCACAATTATGCCTGGCAATTTTTTTTTTGTTTTATTAGTAGCACATTTATTAGTACATTTATTGGTACATTTTAGGCATACATAACGACAACACTCATCATATGGAATTTGCACCTGAATAAAGATTTGAGCTGTATGAAGTTTAAGCTCCTTCTATCTTTTAGTCTATCATAAAAGTTTCAATTCCAAGGCACTATAGTCTATTCCAGGAATGGCGAACCTTTTAGAGACTGAGTGCCCAAACTGCAACCCAAAACCCCCTTCTTTATTCCAAAATGCCAACACTGCAATTAAACCTCAATACTGAGATTTTAGTTTAAGAAAACAACTCAGACACTTGGCTTGAGTGCCAACAGAGAGAGCTTTTGGTGCCTGGTGCACCGTGTGTGCCATAGGTTTGCCACCACTGGTATATACACATTCTGGTGCTGCAGCTTTTCTCTCTTCTTCAGTGGTACTGGGGATTGAACCAGGGGCTTCTACATGCTAGGCAGGTACTGTACCACTCAGCTACATCCTCAAGCACTTTTCTTTTCTTTCTTTCTTTTTCTTGTTGCACTGCTGGGCATTGAACTCAGGACCCCACACTTGCATTCTATCCTAAATTACATTCCCAACTCTTTTTATTCTATTTCGAAATACATAGGATCTTGCCCGAATTGCTTAGACTGGCCTCAAATTTGGAACCCTCCTGCCTCAGGTTCCTGAGTATCTGGGGTCAGAGATACATGTGCACCACTGTGCCAGGTTAAATACGTTTAAATACAAATATTTGCCAGGTGTGATGGTAGTAGTTTATGCCTGTAATCCCAGCATTTAGGAGATTGAGGCAGGAGGATCGCTGCAAGTTGAAGGCCAGCCTGGGCTGCGTAGTGAGTTCAAGGCCAGCCTGAACTGCATAGCGAGATGCTGTCTCACACACACACACAAATACATACATTCAAATGTTTAAGTATAATAACACATTATTTTGATCTGTATTATCTGTTGTATTAAGAGTTGTACTTCTAGGGCTGGGGATTTAGCTCAGTGGTTCCGGCACCTGCCTCGCAGTGCAAGGACCTGAGTTCGAGCCCTGGTACCAAAAAAAAAAAAGAATTGTACTTCTATTTTCTTTTTTTTTTGGTACCAGGGATCAAACTCAAGACCTTGCGCTTTCAAGGCAGGTGATGGAACCACTGAGCTAAAACCCTGGCCCTGTACTTCTATTTTGAAATGATCTTGTTGCAATATTTAGCTTTAAAAAGATTTTAGGGCTGGGGATTTAGCTCAGTGGTTCTGCCGCCTGCCTTGCAAGTGGAAGGACCAGAGAAGCGGAAGGACCAGAGTTCGATTCCCGGTACAAAAAAAAAAGATTTTATCTGCCTGTCTATATAAAGAAATATATAAGGAAATTTATATAAAGAAATTTATATAGCATAAGAAATTAATATAAATTTATGCAGAGAAATTTATATAATATGAGAAAAAATTGAGTTTCTTCCTCTATCTCCATTATACTAGAGATTTATAAAAATATGCTAGACTTAAAAATCAATGTTTGACTTAACATATAAATGCCAAAAAAATTTTGGTGGCTCTGGGGCTCAAACTCAGGACCTTCTGAGGCAGGAGGATCTCCACAAGTGCAAGGCCAGCCTGGGCTACATAGTGAGAAACCTGTCTCCAAAAATATTAAAAATTAAAAATAAAATACAGCCTTGCACAAACTAATCATTCACTCTACCTCTACCACTAAGCTGAATCCCCAGACACCAAAGGCAAAGTTTTTAAAATTATTTATTTATCTATTTTATTTGGGGGAAGGTGAGACAAGGTCTCACCATTGTAGTTCAGGCCACTCAAGCTCACCACATAGCCCAGGCTGCCCTCGAACTTGCAGCAATCCTCCTGCTTTAGCCTCCCGAGTTCCGGGATTACAAGCATGTGCCACCATGCCTGGCTACTAAATGCAAGTTTAAATTTTAGATATAAATTTTTTTGTTTTTGTACTGGGAATCAAACTCAGAGTCTCAGCTTGCCAGGAAGGCTCTGCACCACTGAGCTACATCCTTGGCCCTAATTCTTTTTTTAGATATAAATTTGTAATATATGAAATAAAATTTATAAGTTAATAAATAAATTCATAATATATTAAATTTACTTTTTGGCAAAACAATCACTTCCACTTAATCCTGCAGAGGAGTCCTTATGGTAGGAGTTTCCTTTTGCTAATCTGGGTCTCCTTTGGCTGTCAGAATTGTTTAGTGCTTCTGTCTTTCCCCTTTCCCACACCTGCACCGCTGGCGAGAAAGGCCAGGTGCTCAGCCTGTCTGCCTGGCAGGCTGCATAAGCATTTAGCAAGTCAGACCCAGAAGATGCCAAGTGGAATTACTACGCTGCCTGGTAATACTGTTGCCCCTTAAGCTAAAATCACTTACTTAGGAGAGTCCAGGTTCACCGAGGATAAACAGTTTTTAAAGACTTAATTATTTAAAAGGGTTCTGCCTCAGTGGTGAAGCTAACTGTGTGTTTTCTTGTTTTTTTGGTACCGGGGATAAAACTCGGGACCTAGGGCTTACAAGGTAGGTGGCAGAACCACTGAGCTAAATCCTCGCCCCAGCTTACTGCGTTTTAACTTGTCCTAGGGCCTCTTCATTGGATGTCAACTAACAAAGTCTCCGGGCCATCTGGGTCTAATATGATCTACTACCTGCTGGTAGGAGTCACCGTCAGCACTGGCGGATATTATGTGAGTGATGGGATAACCACAGCGCTCAGGATTCGTATCTTTTACAACCTGTGGCAAAACTCCAAGTAGTATTAACATTAGGACCTAAGATAATTAAATGTACAATGTAGAAATTGGTTTGTGTCACTGAGCATACACATTTGAAAATGACCTTTGTAGTCATTAGAAATATATGGTTTTCATAAGAATATATGAACAGGGCTGTTCTGAAGATTTTCTAAGCATAAAATCAACATTTCTTAATACCACTAACATGGATGGCTTTCAGTAAAGACGATGTTATGATAAATACTAAGAATAGCTGACATTTGAGTATCTGTCATTTGCCAGATTCATGAATCATTTAATCATTGCAACAATTCTATAAAGTAGGTAGTATAATTCATACTCGACAAGAACTGTTTTGGAAGACTTATTAACTTTATCTTTTGATATTTTTATTTATGTTATTTATTTTATTTTATTGCAGTGCTGGGTATTGAACCCAGGGGCTCACATGCTGAGCGAGCTCTCTACCTTTGATTTACACCCCTGGCTCTGCTCATTTTTCTATAAATCTGATACGGCTCTAAAAAATAAAGATCTACTGTTTTTCCAGCTGACGAATCCAGCTGGGGTATAGCTCCGAGGCAGAGTGATTGCCAGGCATGTGTAAGGCCCTGGGTTCAATCCTCAGGACCAAAAAAAAAGAGGAGAAAATTCCCACATCTTCTCTTCCTTCTTCCTATTCACATCTTGCTTTACTGTGGTACATTTTGTTACAAGGATAAGTCAATGTCAATACATGATCATTAACTAAAGGCTGAGACTATGCAAGGGGTCACTTTGCACCACAATTCCAAATACATAGTGACAAGCAGAGTGCTTTCATTTCTTTAAAAATCCACAGTATTTCCTTTATCATCACTTCCTTTCTTCTCTTAATCTTTTTACTCTCTTCATTTTTTTTTTGTGGGGTCTCATATTTTAACATGATTTAATTATTTTTACAAAGTCATAGTTTTTTTAAAGTTCACATAAAAAAGTTAAGGGTACACTTTCCTTTCCGGGTCCACACTGTAGGCCAGAACCTTTTCTGTGCTTCTCAGGCATGAAACCTGGGGCTCTCGGGTGCCCTGCGTGCGCTTAGCCCTGAGCTCCAACCTCAGACATTGGAAATCTTCATTTCTGAGAATCTTTGCCACTTTCAGAAGGAATTACAGAATGTGAAGCACTGGAAATCTGTATTGCAGTTTCCCCTTCCCTTCTATGGCCTGTGCTGAAATAATTCTGTATTAGATTTTTGTGAATTGACCTCACAGATCCTTAGTAGCTAAGAGCAGCTGCTTTATTTCCAAGTAAAATCTTCTATCAGGGACGCTTGGAATCAGAGAGAGGCCCAGGTCACTTCAATTTGCTGAGGGTCTGGGTGTATATTAAAAACACAGCACCATGGTCCGGAGATTCAGCTCAGTGGCACTGCGCTGGCCTCAAAAGTACAAGGTCCTGAGTTTGATCCCTGGTACCAAAAAAGCCCCACAGCACCAGACTGGTTATAAAAATCCTGGTACTTTTTAAACACTTGTAATTTAACAAATAAATACTATCACTTGTAAATAACTTCCATGGTCTAAATCCAGACCCTTCTGGTAGGCCTTTTTTTGTTTTACTTTTTTTTTCTTTTGGTTTTGTGAGACAGGCTCTCTCTACGTAGCTCAGGTTGGCCTTGAACTCACTGTGTAGGCCAGGCTGGCCTTGATCTCATGGTAATCCTCCTGCCTCAGCCTCCACACCCAGCAGGTTTTCATTTTTAAATATCCTTGTCTAATAGAGACTAAAGAAGATTACTTGAATATGAAATAAAAGAAAGCTTTCATATTCTGTTTGCAATTAAGAGGGCTTTCTGTCTCATGCTGTTTTTTTCAACAACCTGCCGTCAGGTCAAATTATTGCTTTGTATGACAAACCCTAGCTTACCTGAGAAATCTTCATTAGGATCTAGCAATATGCCATCTTGGAAGAATTTTGTAAAGTTTTCATTATGAGATCATTGGCATTCACATGCAGATCTTCATTCCCCAATGATAGTATCTTTTATTACTATAACACAATATCATAGTCAGGAAACTGGCATCGATACAACCTGTTGACCTTATTCAGATTCCACAAGTTTTACATCTTCCTTGTGTGAATGTTTGTATTTTTTTTTTTTTTTTGGTACCGGAGATCGAACTCAGGACCTCGCGCTTGCAAGGCAGGCACCGGAACCACTGAGCTAAATCCCTGGCCCTGAATGTTTGTATTTAATTCCATGCAATTCTATCAAGTCTAGCTTCAGGTACAAGTATTTAGTGCAACTATCAAAGATAGGGGACAGTCTCCTTGCCACAAATAACCTTTGTGCTGCCCTTCTATTTTTAAAATTTTTTTCTGAATTAATTTTTTAACTTTTAGTTATTAGTACATGTTTGTGGTAATTAATGTGCTGCCCTTTTATAATTGCACCCACTTTCCTCCTGTCCTCCCTTTCTTTTTTCCTAACCCTGGCAATCTGTTCTCCATTTCTGTATTTTTGTCATTTCAAGAGCATTGCAGAAGTGGAAGCACAGGCAAGTGACCTTCTGAGTTTGTCCTTGTGCTTGCAAGGCAGGCACGGTGCCACTGAGCTACATCCCCAGCCCAAGGTTGGCCTTTTTTTATTTAGCACAATTACCTGGAGATGCGCTGAAACTGCTGCCTGTATCTGCTGCTCTTTCCTTTTTATTGCTGAGTAGTATTTCACGTTAGAGATGGACCACAGTTGGTGTACCATTCACCCCTTGTAGACCATCTGAGCTCATTCCAGTTATTTGGCTATTATGAAAGAAGTTACCATGAAAATTTGTGTGCAGGTTTTTCTGTGAACCTGGATTTACATTTCTCTAGGATAAATGCTGAAGGACATTTGTAAATGCCTGTCAGGTTGATTCTAGCTGTTTATTGTTTTCTTCTCTATCTTCATTTTTTTATTTATAGTACATGTTTTCTGTTGTCTTTGAGACCCATTTGAACATGTTTCTTTCCCTTTTTTTCTTACCAGGGATAGAACTCAAGACCTTGTGCTTTCGAGGCAGGCGTGGTGCTAGTGAGCTAAATCCCTGGCTGCATTTCTTTCCTTTTTTTATTTTATTTTATTTTTTGGGGTACCGGGGATTGAACTCGGGTTCTTGCACTTGCGCAGCAGGCGGTGAAACCACTGAGCTAAATCCCCAGCCCTGTTTCTTTTCTCTTTAAAGCAGTTACTTAATGGCAAAAGTTTCCAAAGAGGAAGTAAAAAAGTACATGTTGTACATTGATTTCTATTCTTTGTTGCATTTGGGTTATAATTTAAACTTACAATGCTGAATATATGGACCATTGTCTATAACTTTGAACTTGGTGTGGTGAAACTTAGAGCTCAAGAAATAAAGCTAAGCACATTGTATGTGTGTGTGTGTGTGTGTGTGTGTGTGTTTGTTTTTGTTTTCAGACTTACAAGGCAGTCACATCAGAGCAAGCCAAGCACACGCAGCACGTAACACATTTTAAAGAAAAGACAAAAGCAGCATTACAGCCGCTTCAAGGTAAAGCAAACGTCTTAATTATTTTATTTTATTTTTATTTCATTTTCAAGGCACTAATTCCCATCGCCTTAGTCTAGTAATAAACAATGAACACTATTTTTTGCCTTCATTGCTAACATAATCCAGAATGACCCTGGGTAGGACCTCGGGGAGGAAAAGCCAAGCAAAACCTAAAGACCAGTGTTACACTCTTTGGATGAGTGCATTTGATAAATGAACACATTTTACTTTTATCCTGCTGACTAGTGGCATTGACTTCTTTGTATGGAAATAATTGTTCCTCCCCTACTCAGATATCTATTCATGCAGGCATACTCTTAGTAACTGTTTCTCTCACCAGCTTGGCCTTTTAATGCCCTCATTTTTTTTTAAATCATAAAACTAATTTTTGTGTCAGTTTTGGCTAAGAACACCCTATGTGTTTGCTCAGAGTATACTTGAAATTTGTAGAATCAGTCGTGTATAGTAGGTCCCTCGGTTGATAATAATGGCAACCACTGGAACAGAAACTACATTTTTACAACAATGCCCATTTCTTTCCTCAAACTGCTTATTTTAAGCCATACTTTTTCCATCTCGACTGTAATATTATCAATTACTATGATCACTATTGAGGAACAGAGATGTTAGCTGTTCATGAATCAGTTTTAACTGTTTAATCACGACGACAGGAAGAAACAATACCGGTAAATATTGAATGTGATCACCAGATGGCTGTTTGTACTACTAATAAAGCACAGCATCTGCCAGCACTTTGTTGGTTTGAAGACCCACATTGCATTATTTCAGTTCACCTTCACAGGAGCCGGGTGAGGCAGGTATTATCTGGGTCCCTATTTCAAAGATGACAAAACAGGCTGGGAGCAGACTAGTGATTTCCTCAGGTCATCAGTTAGTAACTTGGCTACTGTTCCATGCTAACTCACATGGAAGGTTGAATAAGGTGGCTATTTCTATTATCTTAGTATTTGATTAAGCAAGATGTGTAAAAAAAATATTTTTTTTGGTACCAGGGATCGAACTCAGGACCTTTTGCTTTTGAGGCAAGTGCAGTGCCACTGAACCCCCCTGCCCTTTTTAAGTTCAAAAAAATTTACAGAAAATCAGATCTCCCAATTTCCCTCCCCAGAGCCTACCCATAACAGCAGTTTCTTTGGCTCCTGGAGACTCCTTGCAAAGACAGCTGGCTGGCTATATAACGAGTGCCTCTTTTGTCCCCTACTGGGTTCAGAGCTCCGTCCTTTGTTGTCCCTTTACAGTCTACCTGTAGAGAAACCATTCCCAGTCAGTACAGGTAGACCTGGCCACTTTTTAGAATGATTGCACACTGCTCCATTGCATTCCTATGCTTACTGGGCTCCATCTTCAAGGTGAAAAAGAGAGCGTCGCAGACGCCGAGAAAGCCAGCCCGGAAGCCCTGGGAGTCCTTGGCGTGGAAGCTGAGGTGGTGCCTGCTGCAGAATTCCCCGGTGCAGCAGCAGGGGCCACGGAAGAGGCCTGGGCCCCACCTGACAGAGAGGAGGCCGCTGCGGTGGACACCTTGGCGCTGAGTGCTGAGACTGGGCCGGGGGCTGCAGACGGGAGAGACCGTGGAGTTCGACCCTGAAATGACCCGGGGGCTCACGGATGCAGGCCCGGAGGAAGCTGTGGGTGTCAGTAACCAGCCAGGTGCCAGGCAGAGCCAGAGCTCCAAGAAACGCGCTGGGCTAGGAGATTCTGCTGGGGAACCCGAACCCCTGCTGGGCCAGATGCACAGCAGGAAGCTGATGGTGCTTCTGGTTCAGAGGCCGCCTGGGCTCAACGCTGATCTCCAGCAGGTACCGGTACGGGTTCAGTGAAAATGCTACGCGGTGTCCGATAGCGCTTTTGTATTTTTAGTGATTTTGGTTTTAATTTTTTTTTTTTTTTTTTTTGGTACCGGGGATCAAACTCAGGACCTTGTGCTTGTGAGGCAGGTGAGGTGCCACTGAGCTAAATCCTGGCAGATATTAGTTTTTAAAAAGACTTCTTTGTAGAAAACTTTATTGTCATAGGGGCTGGGGATTTAGCTCAGTGGTTCCGGCACCTGCCTCGCAGTGCAAGGACCTGACTTCAGTCCCCCATACCAAAAGAAAAGAAAAAGAAAACTTTATTGTTCCTTGAAGAGTTTTAGTATGCACTGATAGATTTTTGGATTGAGAGAGTTGAGAATTGTACATGTCTTAGTAGTTTTCTACTTGCTAAATTCAGACTATGATATTACAGTAAGGAGGTTAAATAGTTTTACCTTTGAATTGAGATTACCATTATAGGTAATCCTTTACCACCTGTATCACTTTAATTTTGGAGTGTCTTTACCTTACTTTATTGTAGTGTATGTAGGTCTGGATGATTGAGTTTGGCTTGAACTCACTAAATAAAATTAGAAAATCTTTAGTGTTTCTGTTTTATTTACTCATTTATGCACAGTATTGAGATTGAACCCAGGGGCTTCCTACCATGACCTTTCTTCAGTACTTTTATTTTTTATTTTGACACAGTCTCACTAAATTGTTTTCTCTTTTTTTCTCTCTCTTTTTTTTCTTCTTGTGCTAAGTATTTTTTTTTTTTTTTTTTACCAGGGATTGAATTCAGGACCTTGCGGTTGTGAGGCAGGCAGCGGAACCACTGAGCTACGTCTCTGGCCCAGTCTCACTAAATTGCCCAGGCTGACCTCCAACTTTCGACCCTCCTACTTCAGCCTCCTGAGTCACTGAGATTACAGACATGCGTCATGGAGCCAGGCTTACACTAATATTTATGTGTACTGTACGTACTGTAATTACATTAGCATGCATATAGCATCACATGAAGAAATTAAGCTTTGGTAATGCTATTGAAGAAAGGACACATCTGTGGAGAATTCTGTGTATAACATTCTATACATCCTTTTCCCATTTATATTACCCAAGGGGCTGTACAGCTATTTTCTGGTTCAGTTCAAACAACATTTATGGAGGATTTTACATCTTGATGCATTCATTCCACAAATTTTAACCGAGTCCCTACAGGCACTGTTTGAAGCACTCTTCAGCTTCTAGAGCTGCATTAGATAATAAACAAGATAAATAAGAAAACTGTATCAAATGTTAGGTACAAATAGTGCTAAGGATAAAAGTGATGGAAATAAATGGGTTCTGAGTACCTGGCGGATGTGGAAGTTGTATTTTAATAGGGCGCCCAGAACAAGCTTTCTGAAGGTGTCTTTTGAGCAAAGTGCAGAGGACAGGAGGACCCCGGAGGGAAGATGCTCCAGATGAGGGCACAGAGCACAAAGGCTCTGAGGCAGGAGGGTGCTGGGAATTTGAGGTGTGCAGTGTGACTAAGGCAGAGTGAAAAAGGATTTGGCCAGATGTCAAAGAGAAAGGAGAGGGTAGGTGGGGATGGCCTAGGGTTTGGGGGGCTGCGGAGATCGGAGATCCTGGTGTCACTTGGGCTGAGTTGGGTGGCAGTGGGGACACTGCTGCAGCCCTGCCCAGGTCCCCCACCCGGTGCCTGGTGCGTTCACCCCAGCTCCTGTGAGCCTTGCTCCCAGCGCTCCCCAGGCACCCTCTACTGTGGCTGATGGCCTTAGGGCCACAGCAGGCCAGCCGTGTGCAGGTGAGTCACACTCCCAGCTTGCTCAGGGCTCCCCACAGATCAGGTTGAACCTGGTCTCCAGCACCTCCCGCCTCAGCCCATCCCACCCTGACCTGTCCCCACCCTGTCCTGTCCCCACCCTGTCCCAAGAGCGGGCCTCCAATACCTCACTTGCCCCCAAATCCTTGTTTCTAGAGAATTTCACCTAAAATAATTGGTATTGGATGTTGTCCTAGAAAGCAGGCTCTGGGCACAGGATTCTGGAGCAATATGATTACAAAGATTTTTTTCACCCATGGTGAACTGAGGTAAGACACAGGAAAGGTGATATAGTGACTGCCTTAGTGCCCCCAGGGTTTGAGAGGTACAGGGAGACAGTAACTCTGAACACTCAGTCGTGACTCTGACATACAGAATGAGACCTTGTGTGCTTCCTTTTGAGGTGCTGGGGATGAAACCCAGGCCCCACACATGCTAGGCAAGCACTGTACCACTGAGCTGCATCCACCACCTCCTTGCATTTGTGTTTAATTTGTCTTAATGTCATCTGCAAGAGATCCAGAAGGCTGAGGCCCGTGGCCTGCTTTCAGGGACACAGTGGCACCGAGCACTGTAAGGTGGGGTGAGTTGCTCCCCTGTCCTGGTCCCCAGACCTCGTGCACAGGTGCCTTCCTCGCCCCTGCTCAGGTTAGGTGCTTCTACACGGCCAAACAACAGCAGCCTTACATAACCGGACCTCCGTGACTCAGCCCTGAGAACCAGCCAGTCTATTACTCCTCTCTACGCTCCACTGTTTTGTTTCATCCTTGGCAGGCTTTGCTCATAATCAGGGGGTGAATCACCACAATTGTAGGTATTTGTTCACCCGCAGAAAAAAAATATTTCCTCACATTAAAAAAAAAAAGCCTTAAAAAAAACCCCTTAAATATAATCATGTCTTTTAATGTTTTATTATGGAAAACTTTTAACAAAAGCAGAATAGTATAATCAATCTTCAAGGATCCTACACTTATTTTCCAACCATGGGCTCATGACAGGTCTCGGTCACTCCTCCCAGACCTTCTATGCCACTAGGAAGGCTGCGGACTACAGAGAGGGGAATGGGGCCCCCAAATCTGCGAAATATATGTATGCAAAATAATGATAATAATTTGTTAGTATCACTACTTCCCTAGTCAGTGATCAAATTTCCTTAACTGCTTCAGGAGATATTTGTTTTCCTCCCCTCTTTTTTTTTTTTTTCCTCATTTCCAGGGATCACACTCAGGCCCTTGTGCTTGCCAGGCAGGCAGAGTACCACTGAGCTACATCCCAGCCCCTCCTCTCATTTTGATTTTCAAATTGGAATAAAGTCTACCAATTACAATTGGTCAGTCTGTCTCCCCACCCCCTAGTACTGGGGATTGGACCTGGGACCTTTGTACCGAACCTGGTCCCCAGCCCTTTTTAAAAATTTTTTATTTTGGGACAAGATTTCATTAAGTCAAGTTGGGCAGACTGGACTCGAAGTCGCAATCCTTTCTCAGCTTCCTGGAGTGCTGGGATTACAGGTATGTGCCATCCCACCTGGGTGCTCCATATGTCCCGTAGTCCCTCTGCCCCATAGGTTGCCCCTCCATCTTTCTTCTGCTTTTGTTTGCAATTTGTTTTAATGAACCTGGTCAGTTGGATGTAGTGGTGCATGCCTTAGTCCTAGCACTTGCAGTCAGGAGGCTGTGGCAGGAGGATTACAGCAAGTCTGAGGCCAGCCTGGGCTACACAGTGAGTTCAAGGGCAGCGTCAACTACACAGTGAGACACTGTTACATAAATTTTTTAAAAAAGCAAAGTAGGTCATTTAATCTGTAGAATTTTTCACACCCTAGATTTTGCTTCTTTTTTGGTGCTGGGGATCGAACTCGGGTCCTCGTGCTTGCACAGCAGGCAGCGAAACCACTGAGCTACATCCCCGTAGATTTTGCTTCTTGAAACCACCATGTAGTTCTTCTTTTGTTTTAACATATTCCCCTTCTCTATTCTGCCTCTAAGTGGATTTTTCAAACTAGAGAGTTGATCAGATCAGATTTATTGTGTTGGCAGGAATTCTTTACAGGTTGTGTTCATACCTTTGTCAGGATGTGTACTTCGTCTGGTCGTCTTTTGTTTTGTGATGTCATGAGCCATGCTCCTTTATTTCATTAGGAATTGTAAAATGGTGATATTATAATTTTGTCCTTTTTGAAAATGAATTAGCTGGACTACTTCTATAACAGAGAACTTCTTACACCAAATATTTGGTTACACTGAAGTACATTGGGAAGGACAATACATATTTAGATGGTTCTTTTTATTTCAAATTTTCAAAATAGTGACATGGGTTTCTAGCATCTTCCATAGGCAACCAATAAATTATTTTAGTATCATTATGAACTCATGAACTTAATTTATATAATTTAATCAACTGTATTTACTATCTTCTTAATGCTCAAATTTTGCCATCTTTGACAAATGGAGATTTTTCCAGCTGCCTTCTGAATCCTTTTCTTTTTTTCTGAGACAAGGTCTCACTATGTAGTTCAGGCCTTGAGCCTGAACTGGCCTTGAGCTCACTAATGTGGCCCAGGCTGCCCTGGGACTGACAGAGCTCTTCCTGCCCCTGCCTCCCTAGTTTTCTTGCTTTGTGTTAAGATGTAAATATCCTACCCTAGATCTGGATTCAGCTTTTGTTTTGTTTTGTTTTCAGTTCTAGGGAATGAATCCAGGACCTCACACGTGCTGAGCAAGTGTTCTGCCTCTGAGCTGTATCCCCAGCCTGCTATTTAGGTCCTTTTTACAGAGCAATTGTAGCACAGTATTTAAAGACTACCATCTGGGACGCAGCACTCAGGGATTACCACTTGCGTATTTATGGGAGTGTCCATTCGACTGAGTTGGTCATTATATACAGGCCTTTTGGTAGACAGTACTTTTTTTTTTAATATGAAATATGTCATGAAGCAGACATAGCAGCGCATGCCTGTAATCTCAGCACTCAGGAGGCTGAGGCAGTAGTGTAAGTTGGCAGCCAACCTGGACTACATAGCAAGATCCTGTCTCAAAAAACTAAAAATAAAAAAAATAAAACAAAGAATCATACTGATGTTTTCAATTCAACATTAAGATGACCGAGTTTTTATTTAACCTGACTGATCTTCTATTCCAACCTCAAAATTTAGATCTCTAAGACATCAACATACTTACTTATTGATTTATTCCATAATACACAAACAATAAACATAGTCAAATTCCTTAAAGTCACTTGACATTGTTCTCTGAACAGTCATGCCACAATCCAAATCACAATTCCTTTGTGCTTTCAAGGGACAGCCCTTTAGGCTGGGGATGTAACTCAGTGGCACTGCCTCTGCCTGGCAAGCGAAAGTCCTGAGTTCAATCTCTGGTTCCAGAAAAAAAAGTAAATCTCAAGGGGCTGCCCTTTTATAGTATCTAAATGAGCTGCTCATGGCAGTGCATGCCTAGGGAGGCTGAGGCAGGAGGACTGCCAAGCATTCAAGGCCAGCCTGAACTACATAGAGAAACTATGTCTAAATAAATAAATAAATAAATAGGCTGTCTAGATAATTTTTAGGAATGGTATAAACTACTTACTTGGCTCACAAGTCAAATCTATGCCACAAGGCATATGAGAGACGTCTGCCTTCTCTCCCTATTGCCTCCATCCCTCCTTCCACTCCCCAGTAAGGAACCTCACTTTCAAACTTTATGGTTTATTTTTCCTTCACATAAGATACAGATACATGTTATCCTCCCCCCCCGCCCCCAGTTTTACAGAAGTCTGCTATGTACACTCTTTTCTCTATTTTACTTGGTGATTTACCTGTATGCCTGGAGGTGACTCTGACACAATGACATCAGACTCCCCAGTAAGGGACCACAGTTTGTCCAGCCAGTCTATGGCAATAAACTTGTCTTGTTTCTAATATTTCTGATTACAAATGTGTTGCAATGAATAACCTCATGCCTCTGCCTTTTTGCATGGTTGCCAGTGTAGCACTGAAATAGATTTCTTTTGTTCTTTTTGTTTTGTTTTGTTTTTTGAGACAGGGTCTCACTATGTAGCCCAGCCTGGCCTGGAACTCACAGCAGTTCTCCTCCCTCAGCCTCCTGAGTGCTGGAATTTCACACATGCACCACCATGCCTGGTTGGAATAGATTTCTTTTTGTTTTTTAAATAATGCATTTTTATTTACTTTAAACACCCAAGAAACAAGATACTCCCCACAATTGTTCACAAACTGAACTAAAACTAGGTGCTCACTAAATATTGATAAATATCACTTTCCTCTTATGGAATAGATTTCTTAAAAGGGAGATTACATATATCAAACACACGTGCAATTTTGCTGCTATTACAAAAGTTCTTCCACAGAAATAACACCATTTTGCATTTTCCAAACAGCAATATATGTCAGTACCCATTTCCTGTCAGAAGATATTGTTAAAAGTCTGGATTCTAGGGCTGGGGATTTAGCTCAGTGGCATGTGCCTGCCTGGCAAGCACAAGGTCCTGAGTTCGATCCCTGGC